GTGGATCAGTGGGTGAGGCGGCACGAGACTGCAATGAAATCTGTCCTGTACTACACAGAACTGTGCAAAGGCCTTAGACAGCCAAGACAATTGTTTAAAATGAGTTCTCTGGGAAGAGAAAAGTGCCTGTGAAACACTTCAACCCTGCACACTATAAGTCCTTCATTTTCATTTGAGTCAGTTTAAACAAATGAAAACCGATAAATTAACCCTCTTAGTTTTCTACCTATTTCTCACTCAAAGCTGTTCAGTGGTTTTGTAGAGAACCATGACAACCATTTGAATGCTGAAGCGGTTCTTTGTAGGTTTAATGTTTCTTCTCCATGATGGAGAACATATTAATATGGTTATTTAAAGATTTTTTTTTAAAAAGGCTTTTATATACTACAAAAGTTTGAACACCCCCAGTCACATTACATGTTTTGTTGATGTTTTATACTTACGCTGGAAAATAATGATATCTTAACAAAGGAAATTAAATCTTAGTCTAAACATCCAATATTTCTCAATTTCTCATATTATAAGATTCTAAAACCTATTTCTACATGTTTTTACTTGTTCGAAGTAAATTTATCTCACTATATTAGCAGATATTTTACTGGTTGCAAGCATATTTCTTAAAATGAGCAAACTTATGCCAATATAGTGATATTTTACTTAATAAACTTACTCAAAAGAAGTAAAAATGTCTAGAAATAAGTCAAATAATCTTATTATAAGTGTACAGCATCTTCAATGAGGAATATTAGAAATATCGACTAGATTTAAGACAATTTTACTTACTAATAAACCATTTTTGCAGTGTAAATATGACATTTTTCTGCACATCATATCGCATAATTTCTATTTATTAGCTTTAACATATTGGGGACAAAAAACAACAGTAACTGTGTATTAAAACGTAAAGTGTGTCTGTTGAGAATGTGTTCACTAATTTACACAACCAACAAAATCTCATGTGAGCAGAGGTGGCTGAACTTTTAAAGGACTATATATATTTTTGGTGTAGTCTTTTGTAAAATTCATGTAAGATCCAGTTCCTTAGACTATTGTTTCTAAATCTGTGGGCTGCGGACCACCAGTGGGCCATGAAGCACTCTCTGGTGCTCAGGGGGAGGCAGTAGTTTAGCTGGTAGCTGGTAACATACGTGTAAAAAAAGATGAACTTAGGCCTAATAATTAAAAATCGAAGAATCAAACATTTTCAAATTATGACTAATAGGAATATTAACAGATGTATAAGTAACCGTCGCAGGCTAATGCATCAGTTTGAGACTGTGCGGCCGCAGGTGGAGTTAAGAGAGGTTCATTTCAAATTAGGCACTAAAACCCTCAAAACTAAGGAGTCATCTCAACACTGAACAGTGACTCCTGCGGGAGCCACAAGAGTATTTTCAGTGAAAACGCGATGGACTGCAGCTCCAAATCACCGTCCACATCTACATCTACCTTTTTTCTTTTCCGCCCTTTTTTGAAATCTCTGCAAATGTATGTTTTTTGTAACATAACTGCTAATTTCAGTTTCTGTAACTGAACTGAAACAATCAGATCTTTATCAGACCCTAATTCACAGCTTTTCAGTGTGAGCAATTAAGAAAAAAAGCTATTTAAAAAAACTTGATTTTATTTGTTCTGTGGGCTGCTATGCTTTACAGTTATAAACAGACGGGCCTTGGGGTGGAAAAGGTTGAGAACCCCTGTCTTAGACTAGAGTGCATGCAAACATGAGCGGCTATAACTGAACTGAAAGTGCAGAAAGGACCCGAGAGAACAGTGAGAATCTGTTGCTGTCTAAAGGATTAAGAGTGAACTGTGAGAGAGCCTTTCCTGCATTGTGACACAAATACTAAGAAGCTAAGCTAGAACAAGTGAGGCTGGAAGGACAGAGACAGCTGAAGCTCACAAAAGTGAGCTTGAGTGAGGGAACCGGTCGGTGAGGTAATGGCAGAGAAACAGATAGAGACACAGATATCAGGCCTGGGAAAGACAGAGAGCACGTGAGAGCAAGAGACACCCACACAAACACAACAAGCCGGCTGGCAACACGTGACCGAAAGTCACGGCCACCATCTGTCCGTTCTATAAGTGGAGGACACGCCCCCCTCCCCCAAAATCCATCCTGTCTCGTGCAATAGCTCTTCAGCCACTCTAAGCAGCCTCTATTCATTAGCACTGGCTTTCAGTCAGCTCTCTGTCTCCACTGCTACCTGTTTAAATGCCAAAACAATCAGCCTCTATGCAACCAGCCATTATAGTCCATCAGAACAAACTCATACAGTATAGCTAACAGAGCGTAAGCAGCCTTTAGTCCTGATTTTTGTCCCTTTTATAGGTAACAGTGCATCATATTCACCGATCAGGCATAACATGATGACCACCTCCTTGTTTCTAGGCTCATTGTCCATTTTATCAGCTCCACTTACTATATAGGAGCACTTTGTAGTTCTACAGTTACAGACTGTAGTCCATCTGTTTCTCTGATACTTTGTTAGCCCTCTTTTACCCTGTTCTTCAGTGGTCAGGACCCCCATGGACCCTCACAGAGCAAGTACTATTTGGGTGGTGGATCATTCTCAGCACTGCAGTAACACTGATGTGGTGGTGGTGGTGTTAGTGTGTGTTGCGCTGGTCTGAGTGGATCAGACACAGCAGTGCTGCTGGAGTTTTTAAACACCTCAGTGTCACTGCTGGACTGAGAATAGTCCACTAACCAAAAATATCCAGCCAACAGCGTCCTGTGGGCAGCGTCCTGTGACCACTGATGAAGGACTAGAGGATGACCAACACAAACTGTGCAGCAGCAGATGAGCTATCATCTCTGACTTTACATCTACAAGGTGGACTGACAAGGTAGGAGTGTCTAATAGAGTGGACAGTGAGTGGACACAGTGTTTAAAAACTCCAGCAGCACTGCTCTGTCTGATCCACTTGCACCAGCACAACACACACTAACACACCACCACCACATCAGTGTTACTGCAGTGCTGAGAATGATCCACCACCCAAATAGTACTTGCTCTGTGAGGGTCCATGGGGGTCCTGACCACTGAAGAACAGGGTAAAAGAGGGCTAACAAAGTATCAGAGAAACAGATGGACTACAGTCTGTAACTGTAGAACTACAAAGTGCACCTATATAGTAAGTGGAGCTGATAAAATGGACAATGAGCGTAGAAACAAGGAGGTGGTCATAATGTTATGCCTGATTGGTGTTTTCTCAGAAACACATCAACAAGACTAGAAGAACTATTTAAGCATACTAACAGTTCTTTGAGTGTTCATGACTCTTTATAGAACCACTGTCTTTACTAAACACTTGAAGAGCCATCTTTTCAGAGAGTGTATTATGTAATTACAGCAGTACTTTCAGAGTACTGTACATGTTGGTTACATCACCCATGTCCAATCCTGTTATGTCATACAGTAATAATCTATGGAGCTAACAGTTAAGCCTTGGAATGGCCGTTTCAGCTGTTCCTAAAGGCCTCCTACTGAGACTGGGTCTGAGATTAGACTGTAGAGCTGTTACAGATTAATGTGTACTCTTCTCTCTGATGTTCCTTAAAAAGAACCTTCTGCATGCATTCTTACTCTAACGGTGCCCAATTCCACTCCTACAAACTCAGAGTCCAGCACAGTTTGTTGGCGTGTTGCTCAAATGTGCAGCCCAAACCTGCTAACTAACTGCTGGACTGATTGTCCTTTTCCTGCTCCTGCTCCAATCTGGCTCCGCCCATTTGCATTTGTAATCAGTGTCTTGTTGCATGTTAGTCACACAAAGACAAAGACAACCTGAGTAAAGACAAAGTACAGTGTTTAAAAGACTGTTGTTGAAGGAAAAACGTTATCCAACACCAACTGGTCCTGTGTAACAATGGAATTTTACCCTTAGTCGCTCAATCAAGCATTTAACTACATTTAGCTGATGATGAAATTAGACTTGAGTACTGGCAGCCCTGCTGAACCTAAACATCACATAACACAGAACCTTTTTCCAGCAATGTCAAGCAGGCTGAGAAAGAAAGTTATTGAAATATATCAGTCTGGAAAGGGTTACAAAGCCGTTTCTACGACTCTGGGACTCCAGGGCCATCAGCTTCAGATGGAGAAAACTAGGAACAGTTGTGAATATTCTCAGAAGTGGTCAGACTACTGAAATTCCTCAGTGGTGATTCATCCAGAATGACTCAAAAGAGCTCAGACAAAATGGCACAAATGGTATCGCTAGGAAAGGTGCAAGGTAAAAACCACTGTGAACCAAGAAGAACATCAAAGCTTGTCTCATATTTGCCAAAAAAAAAGACTTTGATGACCCCCCAAACCTTTCGGATTAATGTCCTGTGGACTGATGCGCCAAAAGTGGAACTTTTTGGAAGACAGAGGTCTCAGCATTCCACAATAAGAACATAACACCAACAGTGAAACATGCTGGTGGTAGTGCGATGATGTGGGCATGCTTTGTTGCTTCAGGGCCTGGGTTACTTGTCATAATTGACGGAATCATGAATTCTGCTCTCTGCCAGAAAATCCTGCAGGAAAATATCTGGTCATCAGTCTGTGATCTGAAGCTCAGGTGCAACTGGGTAGAGCAGCAAGACAACGATCCGAAGCACAAGAGCAAGTCCACCTCTGAATTGAGGAGAGGCCTAGTCAAAGTCCTGACTTGAACCCCTTTGAGATACTGTGACCTTAAACGGCAGTCCATGCTTGAAAGCCCTCCACTGTGGCTGAAAGCAATTCTGCAAAGAAGAGTGGGCCTGTATTCCTCCACAGCGATGTAAAGACTGAGTTCCAGCTATACGAAGCATCCGGTTGCTGTTGTTGCTGCTAAAGACGTCACGACCACGTTTAGGGGGGCAATTATGTTTCCATACACTGGACGTGTCTGAATTACTACTATAATGGTAATATACTTAATTACTCTTTGAATTACTCTCTAAATTAAACTCAACTTTAGTTTCTACCATCATGACAATGACTGAACATCCTCTGTGGTCTTACCTGGCCTCGATGTGGTCAAACAGGTGCTGCCAGCGGTCACTAATGTCCTTGATCTTGTCGTTGACCTCGGTCTCCTTGGTCTTATTGCTGGCGCTGATGAGCTGCTCTCCCAGCTGCTTCAGATGAGTCTTATTCTCACTGAACAAGTTAATCTCCTCCATGCAGTCCTACAGAGGATGAAGGAAACATAATGACCTAGGTTAAGAAAGGAGAAAGCATTTGCGGTTCTAGATCTAGTAAATGAACTTGAGTCTAAAGACGTTTAAGTGCTGCAAATGCGTCCTCTAACGTTCCTCTGCCAGTACTATTCACTCTTCATGGCTCAAATTAGCTCCTGCTGCCAAGTTCTCATTTAGAAACACGCAGTGAGCTTTCTCATGAGCCTGGCCAAAAGGTCAGTCCACAAGCAGAAAGCCAATGGGCTGGATCAGGGGGCACTGTGTACAGAGTGCCTGATACTTTGGATGTTTCTTGGTTATAACTGGAGTTTGACTTCATCTCTATTGATTTGTTGTTCTTCAGTTCCCGTGATTTTCCTAGAACAAACCAGTGATGGATGAAGTACACAAATCATGTACTTGAGTTAAAGTAGAGATACACAGGGAAAATATTACTGCAGTAAAAGTAGAAGTTCCTCCCTTTAGACCTCCACTCGAGTAAAAGTACAAAGTATTTGCCTTCAAATATACTTAAGTATCGAAAGTAAAAGTACTAAAAGATTAATTATGACTTTAATGTCCTGTTATCATTTTTGTAACAAGACTCCCTTCATTAACTCATTTTAGGTGAAAATGCTGCAGTGTCACTCTTGGTAAACCAGTCTTTTAATAGAGTCATTAATTAGTGACGCTGATGTCTATTAAAATTATCATAAGCACAAAACACTGAAGGCAAACAGTTTCCATCAGGTAGAACTGAGTGGCTCTGAAATCACTTTACAAACAAGCAAAGTTTCAGTTTAAGATTTATTTGAACTTAGTTACAAGTTTAAGTTTAATAAAAACTTTAAACTCAGGTTCACAAATGAGTTTCCTTTACTAAACTGCATCTGTAGGTCTCTGTTCATAAACATAAACTAGCCAAAACTAATTTACTATAAAATGAAATAATGCTTGTATAAATTCAGAATAAAGACACGTCAGTCTCAACTGCATATGTGTACATATTTCTATATTGTGGTCTATTTACACAAAGTTAGGTTAGTTCATCATTTATGTTGAATAGACTCTCCCAAAATTTTACGCTGCTGCACTGATGTTGAACTGTGTGCTGCACTGGGTCGGTATGACCAACAGGTCAAAACAAGCTCAACACAAAGTGACCGCTGTGCCCTGATTGGTGTTTTTGCTTTGCGCTTCTTTTGTTTTGAAATGTTACATTTTTATAAACACATAAACCAAAAGGAACGACAGATTTCTCATAATGTAGTGGAGTAAAAAGTGAGATATTTGACTTGGAAATAAAAGTAAAAGTGAAAATAAAAATTCACCAAAAATGGAAATACTTCACTAAAGTACAGATACACAAAAAACTACTTAAGTACAGTAACGAATTACATTTACTTCATTACTGTCCATCACTGGAACAAACTGGTCATCGCAAAATTGTTCACTCCTCCAGAAACGTCCACATTTTTCCAAGATATTCCATTCTGTTTATTTTGCGATGCTCAGTTTCTCTCCAGTGGTTCTAGCTGTAGCATTGAAGGGGAATTCCACCAGTGTTTTAAGATTTCAGCATTAATAAACCAATAAGATGTAAACAAAGTTATTCTGAGTGGTTTGATGTGAAATGCTCCATTCTAGAGAAACAATGTTCACACTGGTGGTGATAGGAACCAGACGTCTGAAGAGTTTAATGACTCTAAAAGCTCCTTTTTTAGAAAGTTTTTTTACAGAATACTAAACAAAACAACAAATAACATATTAATTGCTAGTTTTAGGACGGGCTGCCCTTTCAGCTTCTCATTCTAGCTTCTATTGACATTTTCTGTTTAATGTTTTTTCTCCAATTTGCCTCTCTGCATGTTTTGTAAAGGGTCAGCATATTGTCTTCCTGTTGTTGTTTACTTGTGAACAGTAAACACTGAGCTGCTGGTGGAGGAACATCTGGCTGTAGAACAAGCAAAACAATAAGAGACCCTCGTCTGAGTTAGTTTTCAAATTAACTGAATCAGTGAATCAGTCCAGCAACTTTATTTCAAATCTCGTCTTATGAATAACTGTTATTTTATTCAGTAAAAACATACAATGAAAACTTGTCCAACTATACAGAAGGCATTTTTAATATTTTAATTAATATTTCAGGTTTTTGGAAACAATTAGAAGTAAATAAATGATAAAGAAGTAAAAAAGTCTATTTTTATTATTTTATTAGCTATCATTACTAGATTTTATACACACGTTTTAAATACAAGGTATTATAGATATTAATTTTTATTTCAGCTTCATTTTCAAATTTCAACCACTTTCTCAGTCATTTTAGAACAATCTTTAGCTCTGTCCATCAATCTGGACACATCTAACATTTCTTCCTACAAGCAAGTTTTAAGACTTGTGAATTTGGAACAAATATCACACTAGAATGACTGTTTACCTGTATCTGCATTAAAGTTGGTTCTGTATGGTTTTATGTCATTGAAAAGCACCGGTTTGTAATTAGTAGTATACTAAAGCACTGCTGAAACACTCAGTACTCTGAACGAGAAGTCTAATTACTCCAGGCCAAAAGGCCAGTATGGCTGTGGGCTGCATCCTGATCTGAGTGGACCAGGCCTGGAGGGTTTCTTACCTTCTTCAGCTTCTCCACCATCTCCTCAATGCTGAGCTCAGCACTGTGAGCCACTTTGTTTTCCATGTGAGTGAGCCATTCACACAGCTCCCTATTCTTCTCATTAAAGATGATCCAGGCGTTCAGCCGGTCAGCGATCTCCTGTTTACGTAGAGATACCTGCACACACACAAACAAACCATGTCAGGATGTGGGGTTTATGTCCATTACATATTATATATATATGTTAGCATCTATAGGTAATAATATGTTCCATATGGGTTAAAGTCTATGTGTCCCACATTTATTATACATAAGCGCCTACATATAATAATAATAATAAATATATCCCATATATATTATATATGTAAGTACCTACACTGTAAGAAGTGGCTTGTCATATCATAAAAAAAAAAACTTAATGTAGCAACAAGCTAATTGAACTAGTTTTATTCAAGTTACACTGAGTGAAAGAATCACTGATTCAAAGTATTTATTTAGGTTGAATAAAAGTTATTATATATTATACATGTTTATTATATATATATATATATATATATATGTAAGCATCAATATATAATATTAATGCCACATATTATAACATAAGTACCTATGTAATATGTCCCCTATGTATATGTAAGTACCTATAGGTAATAACAATATGTCACATATATATCATGTATTATAAACCTACATTAACAGTTAAAAACATTTTTGCCTTCTCCTGTAAAGTCAGATATGTGCATAAAACAACAACTTGGCTGTGAACAATGAAGCCAGTAGAGACTCTACTGAACGTATCAATTAGATAATGAACTAACCGCCACTCTGTAGAGCTCTGAGGCTGTGAGTCAACAGTATTAATTAACATGCATAACTTACAAATGCAACAGCTGCCATGTTCTGGCTTCGTCGTTGCCTAGCAACCACTCCACCCCCCCACACACACACACACACACTTCAGCATGCAACAGAGACAGGGAGTGTGTGATTTCCAAAACAAAAGGGCCCCAAACTCCTGCTCCTATTCACGCCCCCCTGTTTCTTTTCTCTCTCTTTTCCACTCTCTCTCTACCATCTGTTCCTCCATTCCAATGCTAACGACCCCCAGCCCCCCCGAAAGACCCCACCCCAAAACATGACCAGCCATGTCCCACGTCTTCTCTACACTCTGAAGTCTATCCAGCGTGTGAAGACAAAAGGTAATCAAAGTCTAATTCAAACGACTGTTACAGTCCTACAATTGAACAGCGCAAGAAACTGAGTCAACAGTGAATTACACAACTTTTGATACTGATCTACCACAGATTATAAATACTGATTAAAAGGGACTAAAGGTACAAAAATACAGCACATTCTACAATATGAGTTATAGTTTTGTTGTACATTTATTAAAGATATACTATGATACAGTTGATTAAGGTTATTTAGTTGTGTAGTTACTGTTTTCTGAAGCAAGTTCAAAGTCCTGTCTGCTTTAGGAGCAGCCTGTCGTTCTCCAACATACACTAAGAAATAGTTTGAATTCCTGCACGCAAGTTGTTTGTTTTTGATCTGACTAACCACCGAAACTGCTGAGGCAGCACATGACCGGGTCAGATGACCTTCATCCAATCACAGAATTCAGTTTTAATGTTTAATTAATTTGGTTAGCCAGTTTGGCCTAGCCTGTAACATACACACACACACACACACACTCACCACATCATCCAGTACCCCTTGATGCTGAACAAACAATTAACAAACTTAAATGTTCATAATTATAACATAAATTAGAATCATTTACTACAATATTCAATAATGTGATCATTTGTTGGCTAAAGCAAAAATTCTCCGGCTATTTTTACATGTGAGAATTGAACCGAATTGTAGTTAAAATTTAGATTTAATGATGCACTGAGTCACTTCATAAAGAATCAAATTGATTCATAGTGATATTTGAGACTTTATGATGCATTGAATCATTTCCTAAAGAATCAAACTGAGTCATTATGATATTTGAGACTTTATGATGTATTGAATCATTTCCTAAAGAATCAAACTGAGTCATTATGATATTTTGAGACTTTATGATGCATTGAATCACTTCCTGAAGAATCAAATTGAATCATAGTAATATGTGAGACTTCATGTCACACTAAATCATTTCGTAAAGCACTGAATTGAGTTGCCACAAAACTTCAGATTCCCTGATGCACTGAATCATTTCCTAAGAATTTAATTGAAAAGAACTGTATTGAAGTTAGCAACTTCATTATGCACTGAATCATTTCCTCCAGCACTGAATTAAATCAAACTGTAGGTACAATAGCGATTTTAGGATGCACTGAATCTTCTCTAAAGAATCAAACTGTTCAAATTTGAGCTTTTATGATGCACTGAATCATTTTCCGATCGTAAGTGAATCAAATCATGGAGTTGAAGATTTACTGATGCAGCATTTCTCTCCATGCCATTGCTCTGTACTTCCCTGTGTTACATGTGAACAGCCTTCTAACACACTTTCTCTTTCTTTCTCTAACTTTCTGTGTATTTTCAGTATTTCACTTACTTTTAGGCAGAGCTCCTCCCACTGGCAGTGCAGATGGTCCACCTGTTCCTGCAGCAGCAGGACGTCCTCGGTGATGATGTACTGGGACAGGTCCGTCTTCATGGTGCCCAGTTCGGACAGACTCACTGCCCAGTCGTCCAGAGAGTCCTGAATCTCCTGCATAACATAACACAACTACTGTTACCGCCCGGCAGTTATAGCCTCTTCTCACCGCACACTCGGCCAAACCCCGACCACACGTCCAGCCTCCTTCTCTCTCTCTCTCTCTCTCTCTCTCTCTCACTCACACAATCAAGCGTTTACTCACAATCTCCCTCACTCACTTGCAGGCCCTCCCACTCTCTCTCTCTCTCTCTCTCTCTCTCTCTGTCCCGCCCCCTGAGTCCTGTCCCAACAGGATTAAGGTCTCAGGGCAGTCTAGGGGGAGGGGGGCAGGAGAGGGGTAGACAAGGATAAGCCTATAATGTGGTTGAGAGGATGATGAGAGCTGCTGGTGTTTTGCCCACTTTTCAAGCTGATATGAAACCACTTTTACAGCAGTTAAAGGAACAGTTTTCCAAAAACTAAATTTTGCTTCTTTAGTTTTGCACTGGGGGTACGAGGCTAATGTAGCTAACAAATTGGCAAAAAAAATGGATAGTTCAGGTTCAGGATGGCTGCTACTAAGAATGGATGACTATTTTGGAATTATATCAGCATCAGCAGGTAATTAAAACATTAACGGCGTTGGACATTAACAAATTGTCATCAAAATTTAGATTCTTAAAGAATCAAACTGAATCATAGTGATATTGGAGACTTCATGATGCACTGAATCACTTCCTAAAGAATCAAACCGAATCATAGTGATATTGGAGACTGTATGATGTATTGAATCACTTCCTAAAGAATCAAACCGAATCATAGTGATATTGGAGACTGTTATGATGTACTGAATCACTTCCTAAAGAATCAAACTGAATCATATAGAAATTGGAGAATTCATGATGCATTGAATCATTTCCAAAAGAATCAAATCAATTCATAATGGTATCTGAGACTTCATGTCACACTAAATCATTTCTTAACGGATTGAACTGAATTGAAAAGCATCAAATTAATTTAAATTGTAGTGAAATCAGTGATTTCAGGATACACCGAATCTTCTTTTAAGAATCAAACTTGTGTTGAAATTTGAGATTTTATGAGGCACTGAATCATTTTCCAATCATAAGTGAATTAAATCATATAGTTGGAGATTTATTGACATTATCAGCATTGGACAGACGTTTAGATGCGACTGATATCGCAACCAGCATAGTTATTGTGCTCCTGAAGAGTAGAATGTTTAGGTGATGCTGCTTAAACATCTTAATGTGATTAATTCTACTGCATTTGTAACTCTACACAAATAAATGTTACTTTTCTCCATAATACTAATCCAGGTAGAATCAAACCTTTTTATTAGGGTTTATGTATCAGCATCGACAAATATACACACGAAAATTACTGATAATATAATATAAAGATATTGGCATCGCCACGACATAGTACTCTTATATCGGTGCATCTCTATCTGCTACTACTGTTAAATTAGCTGCACTTTTGTCCATTTCTACAGAAAACCATGTTAGACAGTGTCAGAAACCATATAAGCCATTCTAGCTAGCATTATTTAACAGCTCGACAGAGTCTAAGGCAAGTGTGGAAGCTGCTAGCTTCCTCATGAACACGCTCACTTGCTTTCTCAAGGCCTTGTTTTGGTTTAGAAACAGCTTCCCTGTCACAACTATTGACCTCTAAGCTAAAGCTAAAGCTTTCATATTCAGCTACTGCTTTCTCTTATCTGCTAATTTTGTCCTGTGGTTGTTTCACACCACCACACCATGGCCGGCTAAAGCAGCTGCTCCTGTGTTACCCACTACTATTCAGCTGCAGACAGCCAGCAACCACATGATCTGTAGGTCTGGAGGGAGTGGCAGATTTTATCAGCTGTGCTCAGCTGGTCAGGCTGGCTTTGACAAGACGACTTCCCAGCCACACATGGATTACACAGATCAATCATACAAGCTTTTCATCAAGACAAGGAGCTTCCTGTAGAACCACTGCTCAGTCTACACTGTTAGAGGTCCTGGCTTCTCACGTCTAAAGCCCAAGCCCTAAAAGGCTTTTATTTATCATTTTATCAGTTATTTTCCATTGTTGTCTTTTTATTGTCTATTTATATATATTTTTTTTATTTTATATTGATCTCAATTTATGTGATTGAATCTTTTTTTGAATCTTTTAAAACTTGGTATAAAAATAAAACGTGAGTGGGCAACCCTCATGGCCTTCTAGGCCTTCTAAGCCTTTAAACTCTGTAGGCATTGTAGTTGTGCTTTTATTTTATTGGAAACAAAAGGTTTAAAATGACTATTTTTATGATACATTTAACATCTATTATTTTCAAATATATTAAAGGTATTAACATATGTAAGCACAAAATCACATTACGGTTGCAGTACTACCTTAATGAATTGATGCTCTTCCTCTGTCTCTTGGATCGGCTGCTTTAGTCTGGCCTTCAGCTCCTCTAGTCGCTGAGCGTGATCTGCTAGTCCGGCTACACAGCTCTCCCAGTTCTGAAGAACAGACAGAAAAACCCTTTTCAGAGCAAAATACACGTGTTAACACACCGAGTACATGTGACAATCCTAGGTTGCTTAGTAACACACACACACACACACACACACACACTTGAACCCGTCAACAAGAACATTGATCAGAACACTGACCAGA